GGGCCGGTCCCGCGCCGTGGAGAACCAGTACTCCTTCTACTGACCCTGCACCGGGGACGTGGGGCCCGTCCCCCGGCCACCGAGCTGGACTCGCCACCTGTCGCCACCAGCAATTCGGCCGCCATCTGCTCCCCGTTGCTTTGGAGAGCCACGTCCCGGCTGGAGCCGGTGCCATCGCCGCGCCGGGGCTGGGAGAGGGAAAACACGTGTGCCATTTGGGAGGCCGCGGGGCTCGCGGCAGCCTCCCCTTCCCGCCCAGCCCCGGGAGCTCGCTGGGCTCCCGGGAATGCTCAAAGCCAAGGCCTGAGGCTCTCCGTTGTTGAGAGCGTGGCCCGTGCCCCCCGAGTCCTGCAAACGAGCTGCCACCAGGCCCTCGCATTTCGGGATGCCCCAAGAAGTGAGTGGTGTCCCCAGAGATGCAGCTGCACGCACAGCTCCACGAGCCCCCGTGTTCCCTCTCCACCGCCGCTGCCGGAGCTGCAAGGGGCTCATCTTGGCCAGCTTCCCGAGGGCCCCCATGAGTGTCCAAGGACACTCTACTCTCTGCCAGGGCTTTTTCCACCAGTGAAGTCCCTTGTTCAAGGAAGGCTCCTCCTGCTTCCCCTGTCATTTCTCCTCCTTCACCCTCTCCCTCCTTGCTGGAGCTACAGGGATAACCAGGGATAACCTCTCTCTTGTCCAGCTTTTCAAACCAAAGCCCTCGGCAGAGGTGTCAGCTCGGCCGTTTTGCCACCGTGGTTGGGCAATCATGTCCCTGGCTTGATGGAAACCCTGCAAAATGTGACAGTGAGCGTCCGCCGCGCCAGCGGCCTCATCCGCACGGGCCACGGGCAGGTGCCCGGCTGGGCTCCCCAGTAGAAACACTATGGATCTTCAGTAGATGCTTGTTTTTTTTTTTTTTTTTTTGTATAGAAATTGAAATGCCCAGGAGGAATGGGAGGAATGAGGCCGCTTCTATGTGGGTTAACAGCTAAATGAAGCAGAGGGGTCAGGTCACGTTGGCTGTGTGGACAGCCAGGATATCCCTTGCGGAGCTAACGCGGCGGCCGGCAGGAGTAAACCCAGCCGGCGAGCACCTTTTGTAGGGACTGTGAGGATGGACTGGGCACTGTCCAGCAGCCATCACTGCTTTCCCTCTGGGCCTCTCGAGCCCTTGGCAGGTTTGCAGGCCAGGACACTTACAGGGACTTTGCCTGGAGAGTCGCTGCATTGGGCAGCTCTGGGTTGGGCTTTCTTTTTTTCAAGGTGCCTTCTTCCCCGAGCTAGCAAAGCATGTCCCCAGCTCTCCTCTCAGAGACAGTGTTTCTCCCCTCAAAGGGGCAGGGAATGTGTCTCGGGTGGCTCCTTGTCTCTTGCCACACAAGAGCAGAATGAGCAGGATGTGGCCAGGAGGAGGGCTGGGAGGCCTCGTTCCTGCAGCAAACGCCACCATCACCCTAATACGCAGCAGTTGTGGCTGCACCTTGCTCGGCACCCAGCTTGGAGATGTCCAGAGGAGCCTGTGCAGCTCTCAGGACACCTCTGAGCACTGCAGGGAGAGCCCAGATGCTCTTGGTCAGTGGGTTGAATGCAGATCTGCTTCCTTCACCCACGGCAAAGAGGGGGAGCGCTGGATGCGGCACAGACATCGTCACCCTTGGTCACCAGGCGGCCGTGGATGGAAGCACTGCCTTAGGGCTCTGTGGGGTGGCTGGTTTTTCATCTTCTGCATCGCAGGATAGGAAAAGGACGGGGGAAGCAAAGTTCTGCAAGCAAAACTGTTAATTTGTAAATAGAGGAGAGCCTGGAAGAGTTTACTGTTCTGTAGAATAAATTAATTTTATTTAAAAAAGTGACTTGCTAAACAAATGGAGAACTTGAGTTCCAGTTTTAAAATAAAACCACTTGCAAAAAGGACAGCGTATTAACAAGAGCTTGGGCCTTTTTTCCTGGATTTGTTGTATGAAAAAAAAAAAAAGGAAGTTCCTTTTCCCTCCACCTCACGGGCTCCTGGTGGGCAGCCCGTGGCCGTCTCCTTTCCTTCCCTGTGCCGCAGCATGGCAGTGGATCGATGCGTTGCCTCTCCGCCTACTCTGTTGTTTTCTGTGGTTTGTGCCTGGGAAAGTCAACCCAGAAGCAGACACCAATGCAGATGCCACTGAACTAGCACGAGGATATTCCTTCCTTGCCGAAGGCCTGCGCGAGCATCCTGCCGCGTCTGCCTTTCCGCATGCTGGTTTCTGCCGGGGATCCCCTGGGGAAGCTGGTGCGTTGTCCCAGACTGCGCTGTCACAGCCAGGCAGCGTGACAGACATGGCTAACACATGGCTTGGGGAGGGTGGCAGGCGCAGTGCCGCTCTGCAGTCTGGACACGGTTGCATCATGATTCATTCAGGAATAAATTCCCTCCCCAAAAGTCTCCAGAGCGTGTTAACCGGCTCTGGTTGGCTCATGCATCAGGACCTGGGCAGCTGGCAGGGTAATGGCTGTCTGCAAATGAGCTTCTTCTCTGCGCCCACCAGAAAGGCAGTGAAGGCTGTGCTGGAAAAACATGCTTTGCTGTCACAGCGTTCCCAGGAGGGCAGGACTGGACAGGACAGCCCTGTGCATCCAGCCCAGCACCGTGCAGGATGCATCAAGGGTCTGCAGTCATTCCCTGGACGTGTGGTTTGACAGTTCGCGGCTCCTGGGCCCGTTTTCCCCCGCTGTTTGCGTGGTCTCTGTGGGATGACAGGCAACAGCCCATCCTTTCCTAGGGCTGCATGTTGTCATAGCGCAAACCACGCTCTGGGTAGCCGGCCAGCTGCTTCCCACAGCCCCTCGGGTGGTGACCATGCCTGCAGGCACCGCTGCCTCCTTCCAGCTGAGACCCGAGAGCTCATCACTCACGCCGCATCCCTGCTTTTGGAGCTGCTTGCGTGGCTCCAGCCGGGGCTGCAGCGGCGAGGAGGCCTCGCCGGGCCGGCCGGGAACGCCGCCAAGCCCAAATTCACACCATTCTTTTACAAATCAGGTTGGGGAGACAAGCGGGAGGCAGCGGCCGCTGCCATCACCATAGCAACCCCGGAGGATGCTGAGAAGCCCTTTGTAAACAGCACGCGGGACGGGGCCGCGGCCCCGCTCGGCTGCTCCCCGTCGAAGCAGGTTTGATACATTCATGGTGACTTAATAAATCAAGGCCGTGCAGACAAACCACCAGTCTCCAGAGGAGCCGACCGTGGTGCCCTCTCCCCGTCACCCTCTCCACGTTCGTGACAAGAAGCCGTGCGAGACCCAGTGGCGCCACCCGGTCCCGCTCTGCACAACCGCCAGGCTGGCAGGGGCTGGGGGACGGGGCAAGGGCCCCAA